TTTACTTTCATTATGCCCCTCCTTACTTTAATATTACAAGTCAATTTATCATTTATGGCATTTATGGGGGATAACACCACCAGAAGAAGCTTTAAGATTTTGGAAGCAGGAATGATCCCGAGGGGTGGGGGAGCACTCGTTGATTGTTTGTATTTTGTATATTGTTATATATTATGATTCATGTATGTTATGTATGTTTAAAAAAATTTAATAATAAAAAAATATGAAAAAAAAAGATGTATAAAGGTGGGAATATAAAATGTATGGAGGGAATATAAATGTAGAGAATGAATTTTTTAAACCATCTTTGGTGGACTTGTGATAAAGCAAAGAAACATTGAGGTAAGATTCATATTTTAATACAGAAGATTCTTAAAGTAAATATAAGGATTAGATCAGAGATTTTTCTTTTAGGCTTAATAGACAAAGAACTTGAAAAAAAATTCTTTCCTGTTATATTTGTTGACAGCAGCAAAAATGCTTTATGCACAAAAATGGAAACATGCTTTAATTCCCACAATGAATGAGGCCTGGAAAAACTGATGGAACTAGTAGAGATGGCTAAATTAACTGCTTCAATCAAGGAAAATAACACATTCAACTTTGATTCTACTTGGAAACTGCTTCTGGATTTTGCACTTGAGATGGAAAAATGAAAGGCTGACTTTGAGTTTTGCTGATTAGATAAGCTTGTTGTTATAGAAACGGCTAAAACATATTAAGTATTTTAAAAATAAAAAAATGAGGCTGTAATATTACATTATTTTACTGCACTAAAAAGTGTAAGTCAATGCTTTTTTCTTTTTTCTTCTGTACTCTACACCTTTCTTTCCTTTTCCCTCCCCCATTTTCCCATTATTTTCATTTTCATTTTATAGTTTGATAAGTTTAATAAGAAATATTAATTAAAAAGAATGTTATTTTACAGCATTTGTTCTGAATCCACTGTATTGTTATTGAATGAATAGTAAAGTGAAATGACAGGTAATTCTTGTTTAGCGGCTACCTCAGACAGCGAATGTTCAGAGTTAGGATGGTGATGAAAAAGTAACTTTGGAACCAATTCTTGATTTTATGACTTTCACAGGTTTGTAAAACAAAGGAAAGTTGAAGTACAGGTAGTGCTCGACTTATGATCACAATTGGGAATAGAATTTATGTCATAAGCTATTGACAGTTGCAGTTGCCAAATCATCATGTGACTATATCAAATTTTATGACCATTTTATTGTGGCCGTAAGTCAAGTCATAAGTGTGTATCCAGGTTAATTAGTGGGGAAGGGGGTTTGCTCTACAAATGTCAGTTATGTGACTACACGATATTGCAAGCAGTCATAAATGCAAGCCAGTTGCAAAGTGCCCAAATTTGCAATCACGTGATTGTGGGGACAGAATGGTTAAAAGTTTGAAATTAGCTCATAACTGATATTTTCAGAGGCTGTCATTAGTTCAAATCATCATTAAGCAAAGAGTCATAAGTTGAGGACTACCTGTAAATTTATAAGCATAGTTGCAATTTTACTTAGCAACTACTTGTTTAACAATCAAGTTGCCAGTCCCAAATTCTGGTTGCTAAATGAGGACTACTTATATATGGCATTCATGATAGCTCTAGTCTTCAGTATAATAAAAGCCACCTTGGTTATAAGATTTACATACTGACCTGTCTCACTTACATCAAACAAAGTTTCTCTCCTGAAGTCCATGTATTTGAAGTTAAAACTGTTTACACCAAATAATTCCTTTACGATTTGCGCATAAATTCCCAGTCTATCATATCCTTCTTTTGGCCAAATACTGAACATTCTTTTCTTGCCCTAGCTGTTGTCTTTGGCTATAAGAATCAGTGTTTCCATTTTAAATAAAGTCCCTGAGTCTTTAATAGCACATATCCAGTTTTTGAATAAACATTTGCTTTTTATCAAAACAGCTGTTTTTAGTCACTTTAATGTAAGCTTAATCAGATGGAATTAGTTTATAATTGGTGTGTGTGTGCTGTGTATGCATAGAAAAGCTTAAAGCTGCATCGCTATTCTATTTCTGACATATGAATATAATCAGCAGAGTTAAAATGGAAGTGTACTCCAAGTCAAAATCATTCAAGAAAACTAAAAGGTTAATATTATATACACTCTGTATATAATTATTTAACTTTATAAGATGCAGCTTATATTGTCATTGGGGGTGGGTGGAGTGAAGAAAGCAAGAGTGAAAGGTACACTCTGACTTGTGACACAAACTCCATCCTGTACATACTTGTATGTGTAGTTGTCATGTAGTAATCATTACCTCACAACAGACCTGTTGTCATCATTATAGGTAGCTGTGGCTGCGTTTATTATCACTAGTGAGGCTCCAGCACCATATTGCTTGGGTGCCATGAGCATTATTATTCTCCAAAGCACCTGAGGGCAGGACAAGAAGCAATGGATGGAAACTAATCAAGGGGGGAAGTAATCTAGAACTAAGAACTTTCTTAACAGTTAGAACAATTAATAAGTGGAACAACTTGCCTTCAGAAGTTGTGGATGCTCCAACACTAGAAGTTTTTAAGAAGAGATTGGACAACCATTTGTCTGAAATGATAGGGTTTCCTGCCTTAGCAGGGGGTTGAACTAGAAGACCTCCAAGGTCCCTTCCAACTGTTGTTCTTTCTATTCTAATTCTATAGGTGGCAGCTAGGAGCCTTTGTGCAACCGGTTGCGGCCTTTCCTGAACCAGGATTGCCTGTGCTCAGCTGTTCAGTCCCTAGTCATCTCACGACTGGACTATTGTAATGCGCTCTACATGGGGCTACCCTTGAAGAGCATTCAGGAACTACAGTTGGTGCAGAGTGCAGCAGCACGGATAGTTTGAGGGGGGAGGAGTTTGTGAGCTGCACTAGTTACTGGTCTGCTTCCAGGTGCAAAGTGGTGATCACCTTTAAAGCCTTCATGGCATGGGTCCAGGTTACTTGAGGGACCATCTCATCCTACTGGGATTGGCTCATACTACTCATGCCAGCAGAGGAGGCATGCTGTGGGTTGCATTAGCCCGAGTATTCCGACTCTCCCACACTCTTTCGCTCCCCTCCCCTCCCCTCCCCATGTCTCTTTGGTTGTAAGCTTTAATTTTAACATTTTTTGTTTTAATTAAGGTGTAACTGTAAGCTGCCCAGAGTTATGCTATGGTAAGATGGGTGGCAATAAAATTTATAAATAATAAACTGTTATTGTATCCAGCTTTTATTATTTTTACAAATAACTCAAGGGAGGAGACATTTAAATTCTTCTGCATTTCTAAGTTTAGGTTTCATGAGTTTCATTGTTGCTACAGTAGATAATGTTTTAAGCTTCCCAATGAGTTCACTCTACGAGATGATCCAGGGTGATTACAAAGCCATGTTCTTGAATGTTCCTGTGACTTTAAGTTTACATCCATCTTGGCATTTCAACCCAAGTTTGCTATGTTTCCCATTGTCTGTATTTGTTCTTTGGGATTATGCATTCACTTTTGAGTTGATTGTCCAAACCCTTTCTTTATATTAAAAAAAAAATAAACATTCAAAACAGTATTGTATTAACAAACATTTGTTAACTCCAAGATAATACTTCTCAGAGTGATTGGTGATACACTACTGACCAAATATAAGAGCTTCATGTATAATGGAACGGACAATTTGATTCTTTTGGCCTTGAGTTTAGGAAGAATGCATACAGGATTGATGTGTGGAAACCTTGACAAATGTCTCTGCTTATTCATGTAGATCTTATTAATATTTGGAAATTCATTACCTTCTTCCTCTTTGGAAGTAGTTCAGGTCTGAACAAGGGTGAAGAAACTGAAGCTGTTATAGAAGAAATACAGTTGCCCCAGTCCATCCCAATGCAAGAATTGTTAAAAGAAAAACAAACAAATACTGATGGTCGGGAATTCTGATGATAGCAATAATAGCATTTTGACTTATATACCACTTCATAGTATTTCACAGCCCTTTCTATGTGGTTTACAGAGTCAGCATATTACCCGCAACAATCTGGGTCCTCATTTTACCGACCTTGGAAGAATGGAAGGCTGCATCGATCTTGAGCCGGTCAGGACTGAACTGCAATTGGCTACAACTGCTTCAGGACTTCCAGCAGTGGATCCAGGAGACACCAGCATTAATGCAAAGATTAAGCACCTGAATTTAGGCACAGAGCCTAAAATTCAGTACTTAAAATGACCCATGCACATCACAGTTCAATTCTGTAACCGCAGTAAAACTCAGGACAGAATTTAGCATCGGTGTAATGCATTGAAACACAATACTGGATAGATGCGCCAATGCCTAAATCAGGCTTTCTCAATTTAAAGTCTTTAAAATGCTGCATACTAAATTCCCCACTGTTCTCCCATCAATGGTGGTTGCTGTAATCCAAAGCCATCCGAATTGCTTCAGATTGGATAAACCTGATCTAAACCTTCACCCTGCCAAAATAGAGAATCCTCGATTTACGGCCACAATTGAGCCCAGAATTTATGTTGCTAAGTGAGCAATTGGTTAATTGAATTTTGTCCCATTTTACGACTTTGCAGTTGTCAAATTAGTAACATGGTTGTTAAGTGATCCTGGCTTCCCCATTGATTTAGCTTGTCAGAAGATCGCCAAAGGGGATCACGTGACCAGAGGACACTACAACCGTCCTATGAAGCATCCAAATGTAAATCACGTGACCGTGGGGAAATGCTGCAACGGTCGTTAAGTGTGAAAAATGGTCATCCTCACTTTTTCCAGTACCGTTGTAACTTCGAACGGTCACCAAATGAACCGTTGCAAGCGGAGGATTGCCTGTATCGTCCCATTTCGAACATGGGTACAGATTTAGGTCAGCCCCGGGAGTTGCCTCGGCGCCCACGCCGGTCTCACCCGAGCGGTACGACCACCCGAGGCATCAGGAACGCCGCTCGTTTCTCCGCGCAGCTCAGGCTACCCAAAATGCAACGCGTCGGGGTCGAGCGTTGTATTTCGGGCAATCGAAGATGGCGGGCGGCACAGGCTGAGCGGAGCCGGGCGTCGGCTCGGCTTCAATTTGGAAGCGCCGCAGCCTTCTCTCCCTCCTTGGAAAGTTGTCGGTGAGGAAGCCGGCGGTGAGGGGATAAGGAGGGCAAGTGTCCACACAGGGGTTCCCTCGGCTCCACCCTGCCTGCCTGCCTGCCTGCCCGCCCCCACCGCTTCGCCGCCCTCGAGGATAGCTGTAAAACAGCCGATCTTTTAAAAGGGAAGGAAAAAAAAAAAAAAAGGCGGGGGCTGCTTGATAGACAGGCAAGGATCCAGGGCCGCGCTAGGAGTAGGCCTGCTGTAATTAACAACCTGCGCTACCTTACGTTCATAGTCCCATTAATGAAAGGTAGGCGAGGTCCTCAAGGGAAACTCTCTCGTATTCGAGGCAGCGAGGACTGTGGAGATTGGTGTGTGTGTGTGCGCGTGTGTGTGGCAAGTAAAAGCCCTGCTGCAAAAGACGGGACTTGGCGTTTCGATCAATAATAGTGTATATTTCTTATCATTGTTGTTTTGGAGAAGGAACTAAAGAGGATCTAGTAGTCTTGAGTTGCAGTAACAGACTAATATGGCAATTTTCTTTGACTACTACAAAGCATCAGATGCTTAAGACGCTCAGCAAATGTCTACTAATCTGGCCCAGTTTGTTGATGAAATTATTTTGCTGTACCCACTGTTATAAAATCAGACAGATGGACGATAGCTCTTAGATGCTTAATCTTTGCATGGACACCGGTGTCTTCTGGATCCACTCCTGGAAGCCCTGAAACAATTGTAGCCAATTGAAAGCTCTCTGTGCTGACTCTCAAAGCTCCCTGGGAGAAGAGCCCGGTGAAATGAACCCCCTTAAAGAAGGTGCATTTGGGCTGTGAGATCTCACCTCACAAGAGTAGTAGCCAGAACAGTGATTTTTTTTTCCTTATGAAATTATTAGCACAGATAAATAACTATTATTTTCCTGTAAAGTATCAGATTCTTGTTTCTGTTTGGATTGGGTATATTTTAGATACTTTGGGATGTTGCTTTTCTGTGGATATATTTTGGGTGGTTTTTTGTTTTTTTTTCTGTGGATGTCTCCTATAAAAGGGTTTGGATGACCATTTGTCTGAAATGGCATAGGGCTAGAAGATCTCCAAAGTCCCTTCCAACTCTGTTATTCGGTTATTTTCAGGTCTATTTTAAAATCATACTGAATTGAAAGGAAATGTAACTAAAAGGGTAATTAGAAAAATGAGCTTTCTGCTTAAGGTTTATTTTAAAGACATTGTTGCACTAGTTATGACTGTTACTGATTTTTTTAAACCTTAAGCCAGAATTTCCAGTGTTCATTTTCACTTAGAACATTGAGAATTTGACAACAGCTTGAGAGCGTCTTTTGCAGAACTCTGGATTAATTTCATTTTACCTCCTTTTTGTTTTGTTTTTTTTGTTCTGTGACCTGGAAGCAACCTCCTTCAGGTGTTGTCTTGTTTTGCTGATGTAGTTATGTAAATACTGTACATGACACTCACCAGCAGACTGTTAATTTAGATGCAAAAAAACTTCAAAAACCTCTCTCACCATGAAAAGTGGGTGGTAGCTTTGCCTTTTGTGCCCCATCCTGGATTGGGTGCCCCTCCAGATAGTCATGTATGTCCCTGTCACCACCTACATTTATTACTGTACTGTAGTCTACAGGTGTCTTGTCACCTCATGGCGTGACTATTGCAATGCATTCTGTATGGAACTGTCACTGAATATTACTCAGAAATTTCAACTGATACAAAATGCAATGGCATGAGACTGCCAAGGACCTAACTTGGCATGGCCAGATGACACTCTGCTTCATCAGTTATACTGATAGCCAGACATTTTTCGTGATAGTACTTAAGCAGATATGGCAGTTGTTAAATAAAACCATTGTTAGCTATGGTGCGTTTTATGACATTTTTCATGGTAGTACTTAAGCAGATATGGCAGTTGTTAAGTAAACTCATTGTTTGCTATGGTGCATTTCTGCTGGAAACGGGAAGTAAACATTAGTTTCCAACAAAACCATCATAAATAGCAGTCATGTGACTGTACAGCATTGCAAATGGCTGTAAATACAGACTGGTTGCTAAGTGCCCAAAATGTGGTTATGTGATTGCAGGGGGAACCATATCAGAAAAAATCAGGTTGTAAATAGCTTTTGTGGTGTCTGATATAATTTTGATTGGTCATAAATACTCTGTTTCCCCCAAAATAAGATATCCCCTGATAATAAGCCCAATCGGGTTTTTGAGCACATGGCAATAAGGCCAAGCACTTATTTCAGGGTTCAAAAAAATATAAGACAGGGTCTTATTTTCGGGGAAACATAGTAGTGTAAATGATCTTCAGTCTTCCCTAATTATGCTTATGAAAGGAACTAGAGCAGTGTTGGCAAACCTTTTCGGCACCAAGTGCTGAAACAGGAGCGCACAGGCAGGGGAGCACCGGAAATCGGAAGAGCAGTTTCCTGGCACACGTGCAGGAGTGCCAGAAAACGCCAGTCACCTGGTCGTCTGGTTTCTGGCACACATGCATGCGCAAAGACCAGCTGGCCAGCGCACATGCACGTGTCGGAAACGTAAGCTCAGCTTCCCAGCGTGCGCATGGCAGGGAGCTGCTCTTCCGGTTTCTGGTGCTCCCACACGCACAAAGACATGCACGCCAGAACCAGAAGAGCAATAGGCGATGGCTGGCATGCCCAAAGAGATGGCTCTATGTACCACTTCCGGCACATGTGCCATAGGTTCATCATCATGGAACTAGAGTATAGGGTTAGGATTGTAGACCAATATTTTTCATGCCAAGCTTAATCCCTGGGTGATGGTTGCACTTGATTGGGAGATAAACAGATTGGGTAAAAGTGTTTGAGATGTTTTGAAATTGAAAGTTTTCTGTTGCATTTGTCCCAGATTCCTTGCCTTCTGTGTATATTGTTTCTGCATTGGCCTTAAGTGTCCTGAAGCAGAACCATGCCTTCAGGTCTAAACTTCTATTTTAGTGTTAGATGCCTGTGTTTCAAGTATATGAAGCCCTTTTATATGAAAAGTTATTCACTTGTTAGGATTCTTTGTGGAGAAAATGCTCTCAGTTTGAGAACAATGAGCATCATACAGGCAGCGCTGTAATAGAGATAATAAAGGAATCTATGGTGCTGGTTATATTGTCAATGAATTGAGTTTTCTTAACATTATTAAAAATACTGCTGCAAAATAAGTTGCTTCAGTAATACCCAGTCTAACAGAATAAGTTTGTGGAGTCGATTTCCTAATATGTTCATATGTGTTCTTTATATTTGTGGATTGGAGAAATTTCTAAAATTTGGGGAATGGGGACAGAACAGAAGGAATTTGGGAATGCCCATTTCCATGAGCACAAATCTTGCATAACATTTGATATAATCCTTAGCTTTCTGCAAATATCTTTAAAGAAATGGAAAATATGCTGAGAGAGAGAGGCAATAGTTTTTCATCTATGATGAAATCTAGCTAATTTGTTTTCTCTTTTATTCTTCAAAGTGTATCATTCTTGCAGTCAGAATCACTCAGGAGAAAGATTAAGATCAATTTTTGGTCCTGTCCTCTATCAAATCCTGTCCTCTAGTTGTTATGGCCCTTTACATTTTGGCTGAATATCTGAAAACCTTGGGCTTCCTTGTCTCATTCAGGTACTAATTGGGTTTGACTCTCTTTAGCAGGGGTCCTCAAATTTTTTAAACAGGGCCAGTTCACGGTTCCTTAGACTGTTGGGGGGCTGGACCGGCTGCATGGGCATGCGACTAGGTGGGCGTGGCCAATTTAGCAGTCCATTAAACAATGCACACAAATTAAACTTTAATTTGTTTTGCTCCTAGGGGTGCTTTATTTGCTTTTGTTTGCATGATGCTCTTTTGGTTGACTTTTCTTTTTACTAGATCGTTTTTTTCAGTGGTTTAGGAATCTAGTGGTCCACTTCAGTAAACTCAGTTTTGTAACAATTCTTCTCAGCCCCAGGAGCTTATAATCAACAAGTCCCTCTCTCTCTGTCTCTCTCTCTGTTTCTTGTCTCTCTCTCTCTCTCTCTCTCTCTCTCTCTCTCTCTTCCTCTGTCTTTCTTTCTCTCTCTTTGTCTATCTTTTGGAGGTGGGGGAGGTGAAAAACAGGCCCATTTTTCACCTCCCCCACCTCCAGAAGCATTCTGCAGGCCAAAAACGGGCTAAAATGGCCATTTTTTGGGCTCCCACAGCATCCGCACACCCTACTTTTCACCTCCCCGCCTCCAGAATGTCTCTGCAGACCAAAAACAGGCTAAAACGGCCCGTTTTTTGGGCAAAAATGGGTTAAGACGGGCTCATTTTTCACCTCTCCAACCTCCAGAAGTATACTGCAGGCCAAAAATGTTAGCCTCACCTTCTAGTTCCAGCCCGTGGGGTTCACAATGTTAAGTCCTGCGCTTGGCCGAAGGGTGGGGGCCTGCATGTGGGCGGGGCGATGTGGGCGGGGCAGCCTCATGGTCCTGAGCATACTGGATTAATGGCTTCAGCGGGCCGTATTCGGCCCACGGGCCATAGTTCTTTAGCTTTTTCAAGGTCAAACAGGCTTGTGTAGTTGTTCTCACCTACAGTGGTGGCCTGGTTCTAATTGTTCAATTTCTTTATAATTTTTTGGAATATTAAATATTCTAATTTGTGCAGAGAATATAAATAAGTAGGGAACTCTTCCTGTTACAGTAGTTCTTCCATATTCCATATTCCTCTGAAATTTTTATGTAAATATAACTAGATTGAAGTTTTGTCATTCAGTTGCTTCTAAACCAATACAATAATAATTGGTAAACAATTGTACTAGTTGAATTTTAATTGTTATTATTAACTTGATGTATATGTAGACTTATAGAATTGTTGAAAGGTAATCTGAAACATTTCAAGTCTGCTGAACAATTATATGATTATTACAGAAATAATCCAGATTCTTAAACATCTTCCTTATTTAGATTTGTTTTCTTAAAACCTGTCCGAAAGGCAAAGAGTGATTTGAACATTGTTGAGTGTATTCTATCCAGAAATGCTTTGAGAATCTTTTTCCTTAAATGCTTCCCAAGACTTATTTATACAAGTCTTATGCAAGTCAAGAATTGCAAATAATTCATGGAAAGAATGGTCTATGAACAGGCAGTATAAAGAATAAAAAGATAATTGCTTATCAGTGACAATTTTGTTTTGGACTGTTTAAAAATCATTTAGTTTCTTATAAACACAGCATTTTGAATTATGTAGTGCAGCCTTTTGGAAGAAGTAGACATAGATTCTGTAATGACGTTTTTCCATTCGTTTTATAAATAAATGATGATCATTACATAAAA